CTGCACCCGGCCCTCATTGTGGTTTTGATTAACGTTTCCCTGATGGCTAGCGATTTTGAACATCTCTTAATGTGCTTATTGGCCATTCGTATATCTTTGCAGAAATTTTAATTGAGATCCTTTCTGTATTTTTCTTTTCTTTTTTTCTTTTGAGATAGAGTCTCACTCTTGTTGCCCCGGGCTAGAGTGCCTTGGCATCAGCCTAGCTCACAGCAACCTCAAACTCCTGGCTCAAGCGATCCTTCTGCCTCAGCCTCCCGAGTAGCTGGGACTACAGGCATGTGCCACGTGCCTGGCTAATTTTTTTATATATATATATTTTTAGTTGGCCAATTAATTTCTTTCTGTTTTTAGTGGAGATGGCATCTCACTCTTGCTCAGGCTGGTCTCGAACTTCTGAGCTCAAACAATCCGCCTGCCTCGGCCTCCCAGAGTGCTAGGATTACAGGCATGAGCCACCACACCTGGCCCTTTGTGTATTTTTCAATTGGACTATCTTTTTATTATCAAATTCTCAGAGTTCTTAATATAGATACAAGTCCCTTATTGGATGTGTGAGTATTTTCTTCCATTTTTGGGTTGTCTTTTCACTTTCTTGAATAGTGTCCTTTGAAACACAACAGTTTTTAATTTTGATGAAGTCCAATTTTCTATTTTTCGTTAGTTGCTCTTGCCTTTGATGTCAAATTTAAGACAACATTGTGAAATCTGAGGTTATTCCTTCTATATTTTCTCCATATTTTCTTCTAAGAGTTTTATCATTTTAGCTCTTACATTTAGGTCTTTGATTCATTTTTAGTTAAATTTTGTATATGGTGCAACATAAGAGTACAACTTCATCTTCTGCATATGGCTATCTAACTGTCCCAGCACCATTTATTGAAAAGACTATTCTTTCCCTATTGAATGATCTTGGCACCCTTGTCAAGAATCAGTTGACTATAGATGTATAGATTTATTTCTCTGGACTCTCAATTCTGTTTCCTTGATCTAAATATATGTCTGTCCTATGCCAGCACCACACTGTCTTGATGACTATTGCTTTGTAGTAAATTTTGAGATTAGAAAGTGTGACTCCTCCTACTTTGTTCTTCTTTTTCAAGATTTCTTTAATTTGTTTAAACACTAATTTTTAGTTTTCAGAGCATAAAGTTTGTATGGTGGTGTTGCTTCTCAGAGAGTTCAGCCTTGGGAATGCTCATGGTCACCCTGGGATGATAGTAGTATCTCTTTCCCTAAACTCCACTAATTGCTGGCTGATGGCTTTCTTGTTTTCCAAATGCCTTGGAACATAACATGTCCACAGATGGAATCGATTATATGTGGACTCCTTTACAGGTATAGTTTGGACCTAGGGTATACCTCACAGGTATAGTTTTTAGGTCAGTGTTTGACCTGACCCCAGGAGGGCTCCTCGTAGCCCTTTCTGTCCCTGGTTCTCTCTGATAAACCAGCCAGCCTAGAGTTTAATTTACATCTCTAAGGAATCTACCAATTTCCTCTTAAGGGCTTTCACTACAGCTCCAGGTTTTTCTTTTAGAGAGTACCCTTAAGCTTGAATTTATCCACAATCTGTTGCAAATTAATAAATTCCTTTGAGAAGAGATTCAAAGCTCTAGTTTTAAGGCTTACTTATCCCCTGGGGTAAATCTCTGAGCCTTAGTTCTGGTGCTGGGGTGGGGACATTGGGGCACTTCTCTGTGAGCCACACCCTCTTGATAGGAGCTGAGTGTTTGGTGCTGGAGGGAAGGACAGCAGTCTCTGGTCTCCTTGGTCTGCCTTCTTCAGTGTGGAACTCCTTTGATGGGCTGGGGCATAGGTTATCAGGGCCCCAGTTTTCTCAGCAGCACCATGCCCAAGGTAGAGCCTTGGCAGTGGGTGCTGGATGAAAGAAGGGATCCCTCTGCCCCCCACACCTCTTGGCCTGCTCTTGTCCAGAACTTAGTCTCAGAGACAGGTAGCTGGGGGCAAATTGAGAAATCCAGCCCTCCAGCTAGGGGTTGGGAGAGAGGGAGTCCTGTGTTCTTGGCTTTACCTGTTACTGGGAATGGGGTTTAGTCTCTCTGATCTGGTGAGGAGGGGGAGGGGGAGAGTGAGTCTTGGTTCTGTCAACGGAAAAAAAGCCAAAGTCTGCAAAATAATTTTAAAGAGATTTATTCTGAGCCAAATTTAGGACCATGACCCGGAGGCACTGCCAAGAGGCCTTGGGCAAGTGGACTCGCTGTGGCTGGGTTACAGTTTGGTTTTTATACATTTTAGAGACAAGGGTTATGGGTAAAGCCATCAATCAATGTGTGGGAGGCATACATTGGTTTGGCCCAAAAAGGAGGGCCATCTCGAAGGGGGGGGCGGCTTACAGGTTATAGGTGGGTTTAAAGATTCTTTAGATTGTAATTGGCTAAAGACATGAAGCTTTGTCTAAAGACCTGGAATGTTTTAACATAAACTGTTTACCAGAGATAAGCCACCATTTGTTGCAAATTGAGGGCCTGCAGGTTTGTCTTGCATACCCTTAGGCCTATTAATGTGTTACAGAGGAAGTCTCCAAGAAGGGAGGGGGGCATGATAAGGCCTGTCTGACCTCCCTCCTCCTGGCTGGCAACTTTGCCCTTGAATATTCCTTTGGCCATGAGGGGGTCCATTCAGTCAGCCGGTGGGGAGGGGGTGAGCATTTTAGTTCACAGTTCACATACCACAGATTCTCTCTATTCTTACTGAGTCCTTAAAGATTTTCTTGAGTAAATGTTTCTTCATTGGCTGTATGCCTTTAGAACTATTTTCAGAGACTTGAAGTGGTTGGGTTTTTTTTGGAATTTTCACCAATTTCACTGGGGAGTTGGTCCTCAGAGCTCCTCATGCTGTCATGGCAGAAGTAGAACTCTCTGATGTTTCAATAAGAGTGTTTTTAGTGATGTTCAGCAAATAATAAGGAGTAGGGAGTAAAACAAATGAGAAATGTGTTATATGGTAACAAGATAGAAATTTACAGACTTTGATTTTAAAAAGAAAGCCAAGCGTGGTGGCTCAGGCCTGTAATCCCAGCACTGAGGCTGAGACAAGAGATCACTTGAGGCCAAGAGTCTGAGACCAGCCGAGGCAACATAACTGGATCCCATCTCTACAAAAAAGTAAAAAACAATTAGCTGGGTGTGGTGGTACACACCTGTGGGCCCAGCTAGTTAGGAGGCTGAGGCTGGAGGATCCCTTGAGCCCAGAAGTTTGAGGTTATAGTAAGCTATGATTGCGCCACTGTACTCCAGCCTGAGTGACAGAGTGAGACCCTGTATCTTAAATAAATAAGTGAATGAATTATGAAGACCTAATCCTATTTAGCAATTTAATTTTGATTCTCAACCATTACAAACGTCTGTGAACATGGGAGATGCAAATCATTTAGATGTGTCTGTGTTTATCACCATTATATCTGAATGTATCTAGAAAGATTTTAAGAGCCATTATTTCTAACATACTACAAGTAGTCTTCATTCTTTGTCTCCCCCCCCCCCCAAGATATGGGGTCTGTCCCCTTTTTAGGAAAATGCTTAGGTTTGTGATTTTGGTTTCTTAGGTACAGAGCCAGATGGACTCCTTCGGACAAACTACAGTTCTGTCTTAACAAATGTTGGTGCTGCTCTGCATGGGTTTCATGATGTCATGAAAGGTAAGCCTTGAAAAAGAACATAAATAAGCTTAAAACCTTCACTCCACTTTCTTAGATCTGCTGGAATGAGATTTAAGCAAACACTGCCAAGTGTAATAGACCCCAGATAAAGGCTTAGTAGCAGTTGGATTATGTGGAAGTGCACAGCTCACCGCCTTCTGCTTTTCCCATCTGCTGCATTTCTGAAGGTAAACAAAGCGCTGAAGAGAAGTCCTTGTGCACAGTACTTTAGCCAAAAATACATTACACTGACTTTAGGCAGGTATGTGAGTTTTACCAAACCAGACATTCTATTCAGAGACATTTAGCAGAATACTTTGATCTCGTTAGAGGCCAAGCATGAAGGAATTGAGGAAACCAAGGTTTAAAGTTCCCAGAAAGAATTCACTGACTTTCCACCATCCTGTGCATTTTAGTGTCTAAATGCCTGCTTTAAGTCCTATCTTATTCAGCATAGCCTTAAGAAATAAAGGTCTGTTTTTAAACCTTGAAGGTCAGTTTTCAATTGCCTTTCTGCTCCTAAGAATATAGTCTTCTATAGGGCAGAGGGAAATCTTTTAATGCATTTCATGTGCTTCTTTGCCAGTGATTCTTAGTCCTGACTGAGCTAAAGCTTTGCATTGCTTCTGGGTTTTCCCCTTTCTTTTTCTTTTAGTGACTGTTAGGAGAGGGGGAGGAGGAGAGAGTGGAGCTATTAGATGTAGCCCAGGTCCCTAGATGATTCATTATGGTGGTTAGTTAAACAGTCAGTGACCAGTTACTAATTTCACAGAAAATAATTTTTAAAAACTTAAAATTATGTTGTATAACATGTATAAGAGGTGGGTATTTGGGTCCCTCTTATAGATTGGCATATAGCTGAGAAACTGGGTTTCATTCTTGGTCTCAGTGTCATTACCAAGCACCACTTTACCAGTCAGTCTGGAGTGTGGGCCTTCCTGTGCCTTGTCTTCAATTATAAGGAATTTTAAAAGTCACCGTACTTCTGGAGCTAGCCCTGGTTTCAGAAGTCACATGTTAGATAGGGGGTGGCAGTTGGGGTGGCAGTTGACAATATTCATCTCCAATCCTGCAGAACTTAGTTTGGCCTATAGAAAACCCAAGAGATGGTGGTTTTTTTTCCTGTGCCACTTTTGATTTGAGGAGCTAAGACTTAGCTGTAGTCCTCCATTCCAGAACATTACTTAGCCTAGATCCGTACTATGGAAACCACAAGTACCTCTGTGACTGTAGGCTTTTTTGTTTTTAAATTTTTTCTATGCTGAAATATGTTGACCATGCCCAGTCAAAAATTCAAAACCTGAAATGCTTCAAAATCTAAAACTTTCTGACTGCTAGCATGACGCCACAAGGGGAAAATTCCATACCTGACTACCTGTGCCCTGTGACAAGGCACAGTCAAAACTTTATTTCATGCACAAAATTATTAAAAATATTAAAATTACCTTCAGGCTACATATATAAGGTATATGTGAAACATAAATGAATTTCATGTTTAAACTGGAGCCCCATCCCCACAATATCTCATTATGTAAATACATATATTCCAAAATTTGAAAAAATCCGAAATCCGAAACACTTCTGGTCCCAAGCATTTCAGATATGGGATGCTCAATCTATTGGTTGAATAGCTAGTCGCCAGTGTTAAAAAGAGGATTAAAAATTGTTCTATTTACATGAATTAAAATCAGAAATAATTTCCATCATTTATATTTATATTTATGATGATGATTGATGATGAGACACGACTCCTTGTTCTCTAAGGCAGAGTGAATGCCGTGGTCAGCCTCGCTCCAAGCAACCTCAAACTCTGCTCAAGCGACCTCCTCCCACCTCCAAGTGTACTGACAAAGGCTGCGCCAACCTATCCCGTAGTTTTTTCATATATTATTAGTGGCCAATAATTTCTTTCTATTATAGAGAGAGGGGTCCGCTCTGCTCAGCCTGGTCTCGAACTCCTGACCCTCGAGCAATCCGCCGCCTCGGCCTCCAGAGTGCTAGGATTACAGCGTGACCCACCGGACGCCGAATGTTTTAAATATATCATAGTCTAAGTTAAGAATTGTTTGATCTTTAGCTGCAGAGAGGTCTAAAGCAAGTAGACTCAGAGGAAATGTAAAAGGAAAAATAAACTTAGGGTCTAGGTAACATGATTCCTTTGTATTTTTTGGAGTTAAAATTTAATGTCGAGGAACACCCTAAATAATTAAAATTTTTGGACTAAAGAGTAAACAATTCCATTAAGAGAATGATTATAATCAAACTAGAATAGCATTGTTCTTAGTATTGTTCCTTTTTGTAAGTACTTCAATTACCTACCAATCAACCAAGATTGCCTACCAACCAAGTTGTATATTAACTAATACTTCCAGTAAAATATTAAATAAAACTGTCTGTGGTGTGTAGAAAGAAAATGTCTGCTTTAGGGGCTAGCAAGTTCAATACACAAAAAACTTCCAGCCTTCTAATTGAATTTTTACATACTTGGATATCTTATGAATATATAGAGGATAATCATTTCTTTTCAAAAACATATTGAACATAATAGCAATGTACCATGCCTGTATCAAAACATTACATGTACTCTATAAAAATATATACCTATTATGTACCCATAAATAATTACAAATTAAAAAATAGTAATGTACCAATTGGTTGGTTCCTTTGCTCTGACAACTGTACCATAGTAATATAAGATGTTAACAATAAGAAAAACTGGCTGCGTAACTGTAACTTTTTTTTTCTATAAATCTAAACTTTTTTCCATAAATCTAAAACTATCCTAAATTAAAGGTGCATGTATATATGAGTATATGTATTAATTAAAAAATTCCTAGTTTTAAAATTTTAGTAAAAGTAATCTTGTTCATAGGACATAGTATAATAATTTTGACCTAAAATTTCATGATCAGATCAGATTTAAATCTCAAATACCGTTTCTTTCCAAATAGTCTTATTTGACCCTTTAATTATCTGTCGTCTAAAATCAACTAAATTTCTTGATTCTGAATAAATGGAATTCTCTGCATATACACCTGCTATAAAAGTTAATTTCCATGTTTTGTGATTTACTTTTAGCTTTGTTGGTAATGATCATTAGTGCTTTCTAACTGAAATATTCTGATAAATTCAAAGGAGAATATATTGTATGTGCTTTATATTTAAAAAATATAATTACCCTTCCTTGTAAATCAACATTATTTTTATAATTCTCCCATTTTCCCTGTTTCCAGGACAAAATTATTATATCTCTAAGAGACCCAGAAAACTCCAAAACTTAGGATAACTATTTGACCAATCTCACCTTAAGTTAGGAATTTCTCGTAAACTTTTAAAATTTAAGTCTCTTCTGTGCCTTTATTGTAATATTATTGGACTGGAGGCAGCCACACAGGAGGCCAGACACTGCAGTATCCAATCCTTATTTGGCTGAGCAGACATATCTCATTGCTAGTTAGGGTGTATATTAGCAAACTAGCTAAGGTTCAAGAAGGATTTTGGGACATTGTTCTTATATTGGCTGTTCTGTTGCAGCCTCCTGGGTTGCCTATATAAGTACAAGATAATTTCTCATTCGTGTTTGCTAGACTGTCAAAGCAGTAGTTTTTAACTGATAAATACTGGTCAAGGTCATTTACCCAATGTTAGAATAAGGGCTAATACTCAGATGAGAAAGAATCAAACCCACAGTCTAGTGGTTATAGTAAAGACATCCAAGATGGTGTTAAGAAATCCTCACTTTTCTCCATTCTTTCCATGTGGATTTGTGACAGTCCTGACACTTGGGATCATTCTTTGTCATATTTACTTTATAAGGTTTGTAAAAGTAGGTATGAGAAGTGAACAAGCTGGTTATTTGTATGCGACTTGTATATATATATATATAACAATGAGTTTTCATTTAATTGCTTTTATAGATATTTCCAAACATTATAGTCAAAAAGCTACAATAGAGCATGAACTTCCAACAACAACACAAAAGCTGATAACAACTAATGACTGTATCCTCTCATCAGTAGTGGCATTAACAAATGGAGCAGGAAAGGTAATTATTCTCTGGCTTATATTGATGTTATTAATTCTTATATGTGCTCCTTTTTTCTTTTTCTTTTTTCTTGAATGACATAGGAAAATTGATCTGTAAAAGGATTTTGGAATATGAAGCTTTTTTGTAAAATAAAGTTGTTCCCTTCTCCCCCCTCCCTACCTAAGCTCTAAAACAATATGGGCCCATGCAGTGGCTCACACCTGTAATCCCAGTTGCTTTGGGAGGCTGATGTGGGAGGATTGCTTGAGGCTAGGAGTTCAAGACCAGTGTGGGCAACATAGTGAGGCCCCTGTCTCTATAAAAAATTTAAAAAATTAGGCATGGTGGCACAGGCCTGTAGTACCAGTTACTTAGGAGGCTGAGGTAAGAGGTTTGCTTGGGCCCAGGAATTCAAGGTTACAGTGAGCTATGATCATACCACTGTACTCCAGCCTGGGTGACAGAGTGAGGCCCTGTCTCTAAAATAAAATAAAATAATATGATAGTGACTGTTGAGCATTGTTGAATGAGTAGATCATTCAATGTTGATGTTTTGATGCAATATTGGATGATATGAAGATTCTATTAATAGATAGTCTCAATATTATATATCCTTGTGTACCTCAGGGGTCTGCCACATAGAACATTGGGAATATACAGAAAAAGAAAACAAACAAACAAAAAAACCCCAATACAACCTGTGTTAATATTTTGAGTTTTTCCCTCCTACTTTTTTGGGGGATTTTTTGGTAACAGTTGTGATAATGCTACCTCTGTGGTTTTGTATCTTAACAAGTACTTCAAAGTGACTTCAATATGTGTCTTTTCTTGAACCTTTAATTGTAGGTAATAATCATTTGGATCATTAAGCACTTACATAATTCTTACTATAAACTGACCAAAGTGAAGTTTCTTTAAAAATCCTTTGATCATGGATATTCTAGTTTTAGCAGAGGTCATATTCTCAGCGTGCGTGTTCATGTGGCTGTCATCAACACCTTCAACAATTAAGGTTTCTCTGAGAACTCCCCATATGTATAAAACCAAAAGGATTATATTCAGAACTATCTTAACCCATTTATTTCAGCAGACTCAACATAATTTCTCAAGGGAATGTTAATCTCTGTATCTGTATTTATATAGCTGTTCTTCTTCTGACAAGTGGACTGTAATAGGAACAAATTTTCTTCAAGTAGTTTGAATTAATGAGATATGATCATAGATCATGTTAGACATTTAATGTCATCTTTGCCAAACTCAGACTGGTCTTTCTGACTATTTGCTATAGCTTGGGGCCATAATTATAACATGTTATTTTATAGGAGTTTCTGTATTTTCTGCCTTTTATGAGAACTGTGAAATAGTAAATGCTTGTATATTTCATAGCTTATTTTAGCTTTGCTTTGCTTGAAAACTTAAAATGTTGTCTCAAGGAAAGATCCTGATCTTCACTGTAGAATTTTTTATAAACGATTTTCAACTAAAATAAGTATTGAAACTAATGTTAGTTGGTGTCAGCTTACTATTTAGCTAATATGATTAGATTAAACTAAATTTTATATTTTGTGATTTTTTTTAAATCTACTAGGAAAGTATAAAATGTAGAAATATTAGAAAGAAGAAAGAAAATAAGCCTCAGCATATACTACTATGGCCTAAATTCAAACACTGGGTGTATTATATCATTCCCAAGTATTTTATAGCTCAACATTTTTGGAATGTTCATTTTATTGAATACTGCCTAACATAGAATTTCATTTGACATAGTAAAACATTAATGGAAAATATAACCTTTCAGACCGTTAGTGATTAATTGCCAATTTTTGAGCAGTTTTTGCCAAGGTAGAATACTCTGTTTCACAAGTCACGTTTTTTATCAGAATATTAATAGAATACTCTTTAATGTATCCAAGATTATAATTTTCCAGGTAAGACATTTGGCCAGACATTTTTATTTATATCATCATTTCATATAGCACTGTAGATTCAAAATTATGGCTCAGAAAATTATAGTCATGCATCTTTGTGGCTGCTTGCACAGATTTAACAAGTGTTAAATCTGTAAATGATAGTCTGCTGAATTTTCAGTCTTTTTTCCTGTCATATTTGTAATTCACAAATTGAGATTTACAGAATTAAATTTAAGTAGAGATTACATATTCAAGGTGCTATGTCATGTCTTCTGTTTGAATATGAAATATTCAAAGTTAAAATACAAATGTAGTATAAAAACCCAAACATGGATATTTTGAGAGCAGTGGCAGAAGTTAATGAGGTAAATAGCTCATGAAAGTCACCTACAGAATAAATCAAAATCAATCTTGGTTTTCAGGAAGAATAGATATTGTCTAGCATAGGACATGTCAGAAGTCTGTTTTCAATATTTATACTGGTATCTTCTTTTTTATTATAAATCACTGCCTAGGTATTCTCCTCAAATAAATAAATGTGGCCTTTTGGATAGGTGTTAAAAATTTATTTCCATTCTCAGTATCTTTAAACTTGGCTCCAAAAGCTATTAGATATGTATTTTAGATATATTATTGGAAAACCAAATCTATCTTCTTGTCACTCTTTGTTTAGATTGCATCTTTCTACAGCAACAATGTGGACTATTTCATTGCTTCACTGAGCTATGGGCCTAAGGCAGCGAGTGGATTCATTAGTCCTCTTTCAGCCGAATGCATGCTACAGTACAAGAAAAAAGCTGCTGCCTATATGAAGTCTTTGAGAAAGGTTTGTGAGCTGCTGTTAACATTTAAATCAGAGGAAAAATCAGGAATCATTCTAGAGAATGGCAAGAGTTTTCCCATAGTTCATATTGTTTATATTTTATACAATTTTTGGGTACATGGGTGTTGGGAGGAATCTACGGGGAAGAGAAGATGACGGAGACCTGAACTTCGCCTAAGAAGCTTTGCCTGTATTTGTAGGTTATGCTGGACTCGTGTTCCAAGTGCCTGGAGTGAGGTAGTAGCCTGGCAATCAATAAGTATCAAACTTCAGAAACTTAAACCTGTAGAAACAGAAAAAATAATGAAATATGTTTATAATTTGTTCTGAATATAATAATATGTGATCATTGCAGAAAAAAATCAGAAGATACAGCAGTACATTAAGAAGAAAATTATGGTCACCCCAAATCCCACCAGCCAAAAATAGCTACTCTTTTTTTTTTTTTAAGAGTCCATCAGTGAGCTAGAATCTACTCTTTGTTGGAGAATAGTATATCTGTATCCAAAAAATTTTAACGTATATGCAAGTGCACACATGCACATATACTATAAAAAACAAAGTGTATCCTAGTACATTGTTTTAGGATTTTTTTCTTGTAATACATTATGGATATGTTTCTATATATGAAAAATTATATCTATAAATTACTATCATTAATGCCTTGATAGTATTTCATTCTATAAATGTGTAATAATTTAATTAACCCATTCATTGCTGGTGGATTGACTATTTTTCACTGTTTAGATTGCATCTTTTGCACTGTTTATAATAAAGTGTTGAAATATCTCATGTAACTTACTGAATACTATACTGAAAGTGAAAAACAGAATGGTTGTATGGATACTTGAAGTATGGTTTCTATTGAATGCAGATTGCTTTTTGTAAAGTTGAAAAATTGATGTTGAGCCTTGCTAAATCTAGGACTGTCTATAATTGGTGTGATAAGTTCTCCTTCATTAGTTTTCTTTTAAAAAGTTGTTTTTCTTTTCACATGTATTAAAGGAAATAGTTTATGTTGTCATATATCTGAATTTATTATCATAGCTCATTTATCATTCTTATTTGTATATGTAGGATGTGGGGTAGGGTAACAATATTTTTCTTTTAATTCTTATGATGCTTTTTTTCCATAGCCTCTCTTGGAGTCTGTGCCTTATGAAGAAGCACTGTCAAACCGCCGGGTCCTTCTCAGCTCTACTGAAAGTCGAGAAGGCCTTGCACAACAGGTGTGGCGCTTGAAAAATCGTGGATATTGTTAAAGAACAGAAATGTTAAGTCCCCTAGAGAAGGTGTTTAAAATATAGAGAGGAATTCAAAATCTACCTAAGTAAACATAAAATGAACTGTTTAATACATACGAAAGAGCGCCATAGACATAATTTGTTAAAGGAAATGTGTTGATACTCTAAATAAGTTATCTTGATTCAATGGGTGTTATAATTGGCACTAAAGTAATGTCTACACACTTTGGCCATGATGAGTAATTCTTTCTTTAGGCACCAGATTTAAATGTTGAAAATATTAAGGCATAGAGGGAGAGGGGCTAGTGATTCAGTAAATTATTTTCACTTCTTAAATGAGCAGGAATGAAAAGTTTCCAGTATTTAGTGGTCATGTGAACTTGGGGAGTGGGTGGAGGTGGCAGGTGTTGTGTTTTTCAGAAATTGGTACAAACTGACACCAATTTAGCATTTGTCAGAATATAATATTCACCTCAACATCTGGCTTGTTTTTAGTTTGGAGAATAGTTATTTTAAAGAGAGCACAAATAGATTCACCTGAGACAATATTTTGTCTATACTGACTTTATTTTCATTGGAAACATTTCACTTTTCATTATTAATGCAATAGGATGTTAGAACTAAAAATTTAATTCGCAGCATAATTCCTGAAAAACAAAATTCCAGAGATAAACAATAAAATGTAGAATACCTTAAAAATTAATTTTGGATTTTATTTTTTTAAATGTGGGGCAAGTAAGGCTCTAAGAAATTAAGCAACTTTTACCCAAATTAGTAAGTGGCAGAACTGTCTGACCTCAAAGCTAATTCTTTTCCTACTCTGCCATTGACCAGCTTTAGGCCAGTCTAATAAACACTCTGGCCCTCACTTCTTGCCTCTCTAAAAGGGAGGATAATATCTGCCTTTCAGGGTCTTGTAAGAATTAATCGAGCCAATGGAAGACAGTGTGATACAGCAAAAAGAGTCAGATTTGTGAGCTGGACAGTCAGGATCCAAATCCTGGTTCTGCCATTTGGTGTAGCTGCTGGGAACTTTAGTCCCCTTTGAGAAATAAGAAAATTGTGGGACTGGAAGGAGGCTTCAGTGAGATAATGAAAGTAAGATACCATGAACAGTGCCATGTAGATGGTAACTCCTCATCACCATAGTTGATGAAGCATTTGGAATTCACTGTAAGATTGCTATTATTTTCATGTAATTCTCAAGTTTTTATTTACCCTGAGAAATAGGGTTTTTTTTAACTTCTTAGTAAAGTATAACATACTTAACAGAAAAGTGTACAAATCAATAGTGTACATCCCAATGAATCTTCACAAGTGAACACAATAATATAATCAATCAGTACCTAGATTTTGAAAAAAAAGAACATTTCTCTATGTAAAATCTACATTAAAAAAAAGCCACTAGGACCATAGAAGCCTTCCTCATGCCCCTTTCTTGTGACTACTCTCCTCTCTCCAAAACATAACCATTCTCCTGCATTCTAACACCATAGATTAGTTTTGCTGCCCATTATTGAACTTTTTATTAAATACAATTATGCAGTATATACTTTTTCAGGTCTGGTTTCTTTCATTAAGCACGACATGATAGTTCCAATTGTTCCACAAACATGTCTACATTTGTATTTTCTGTTTTTTCAACTTTAGCCAAATGGGTTGTTTAAATTGTTTTTCTTTGATATTTAATGATACCGTACACCTTCTTTTTATATGTTTATAGTTTTGTTCAAGTGGCTGTTTAAGTCTTTTGTTGTGGGTGGTGTTTTTTGCCTGTATCTCTATTGGGTTATCTATCTTTTTCTTACTGATCTGCAAGAATTCTTTATGTATTCTGGATATTAGATCTCTGTGGCATACATGCTTTATAGATTCTTTCATTCTTGGCTTTCCTTCTCACTCTCTTAAAGAGTGATGAGTAGAGATTTTTTATTTTTACTATAGCTCAGTTTCTCATTTTATGGTTGGACTTTTGGTATCCTGTTTAGTAAATCTGACCCTATTCCAGGGTCAGACTCTTTCATTTTTACCTCTGTAAGGTAGTTTTGGTTTACATTCTGTAAAAATTTTTTTGGGGGGTGGGGCACTGAGTTTTGTCTTCATCATTCTCTAAAATGCAAAACTCTGTTACTTTTCAAGGTCCAGCAGAGTTTAGAAAAGATTTCTAAATTGGAGCAGGAAAAAGAACATTGGATGCTGGAAGCACAGTTAGCGAAAATCAAGCTAGAGAAAGAAAACCAGCGAATCGCGGATAAGCTGAAGAGTACGAGTAGTGGGCAGTTGGTTGGGCTGTCCCAGGACAACGCTGCCTTGTCGAATGCTGCTGGCCAGGATGAAGCCGCAGCTAAGGCTGTGCCAGAGCCCGTTCAGAGCACCAGTCTGGTAAGTATCTTCCTGTTTGGCCTCGGTTTTCTTTTTTAAATGCCAGTTGGTAAGGCTTTAACATATTGTTTAGTGTTAAGCATTGTTGTAGTTGTTCAGGCTGATGTAACAAAATACCGTGAACAGAGTGACTTATAAACATCAGAAATTAATTTCTCACAGTTCTGTTGGCTAGTAAGTTCAAGATTAAGGCACTGGCAGATTCATTGTCTGGTGAGGGTCTGTTTCTTGGTTCATAGAGAGCAATCTTTTTTATGTGTTCTCACCTGGTGGAAGAGGCAAACGAGCTCTCTTGTCTAAGGACATTAATCCCATTAGGTCACCTCCCAAAGGCCCCACCTCCTGATATCAAGCATTTTGAGGCTGAAAAAGTAACCTCAGATAGAAACTTACTATTTCTAACTCTATAGCATTTCAAAAGTTAAATGCGTATTATTTTCATTAAAATACCTAGTATTGTAATTTGAATATTCAGCCATCTATTATTTATTATAAAGAAAAAAGGTAGCAATAATGTTAATAAAGTTCTGAGGTCATCTGTTTAAAAATAAAATAAAAAATAATAATGTCAAGAAGGAAGAAGCACAGAATAAGAAATTTCTGGGTTTTGCTAGAATTAAAGATTAATAGAATTTTACAGTATATATTTTAAGTATAAAAATAATACATGTACATTATAGATAACTAAAAAATACAGAGGAAGAAAAAGATGACATTATCATCAATAACCAAGCTACCACTGTTTTCTACAAGTGATATGGGGCAGAAAAAGAAATTAAAAAAAAAAGTTACCACTTTTATCTTTTTTTCTATAAAATTTCATATATGGTTGAAATTGTACTACATAAAATTTCAAATCTGTTAGCATAATGTTAATACACAAATATTTATCTGTTATTACAAACTCTGAATAAACTTATTGATTCCACAGTATTCCATATCTAATATACCTTAGTTTATCCATAATTAGACATTGGTTATTATTGTTACTGTTTTAAATAATATCTCATTTTTATGCATGAGATTCTTTTTGCACATTAGATGATTTCCTTGGGCTATATTCTCAGGGTTGGAATTATTGGGTCAAAAGGCATGAATGTTTTCAAGTTCCTTGATCTTTAATGCCAAGTTATTTTCTAAAAGGGCTGTATGGGTTTATATTCTTGTTAGTAGAATATGACAAAATGTTAAAAATTATGTATGTTAAAACTTTTCCATCCATTTTTACAATACCATTCCTTTGAAGGACTTCATGCTGTACCACATTTCCAAACCATAACCCAGAAGTAAGAGATGGAGGGTGGGGGGTTGGAATAGATGCATCCTTGCAGTTTATTTCATCAAATGCAGTCATAATTGAATATATAAAATTAAACAATTGGTGTGTTATTGTAAGCAGTTTTTAACTAAAAGAGAAAGAGCAATTGCTACTTCTGCTTCATTGAGTATGAAATTATGGCTCTTCTATTTGAGAAGGTCTTATAAAAGACTCTTACAGCCAGGTGGGCATAGCATTCATTAGCACACATTCAATTGATATACTGCTCACTGTTCAGAATGATACTCATGAGGATATTACTTAGACTATATGAAAATTGTTTATCAGGTATCATCTCTGGCTAATCGAATCCATTGAAACTTCCAGTGGTTTCCAGTAGTTTCCTTAAGTCATTTGACCCAAACACATGCCCTTCCAACTTGAACAATAACCTGAATTCAATAATTCTAATAGATTTTGAAATTTAATCCACAAAAGCAAGCTTTAAAAAATCTAGCAGCACTTTAATGTGTTTAAAATTGTATTTTTGTTTTCATTAATTTAAATATGAAATTAATGCTCACTAATGTCATAATAACATTACATCAAAATATATTTATTTTTTCTTCCTTCTCTTGAGCTTTCAGCTAGAATGGTGGTTATTTGTGTTTTCTGTTCAGAATGTTTAATTAAAAAAACATAAAAAATATTTCTTTAGCCCTTCTTGGCTATTGCTTTGGAAATAAGTATAGAAATGACAAGATGAGTTTAAAAATTGATCTTCTTTCTTTCCAGATAATTTGTTGGGTTTCAGTGAGATGGGCTAATCAGCATTTTGATAGAGGATTTAGTAATGATTATTATTAGTTCCTGCCTCACGGCAGAAATAGTGAATGCAGTTACCTATCTGCATGCATAGCATCCTTGTAGTAAAAGGCCATCTGAGGGTGATCTCTTAATATTGCACTCATAGTGCTCTGTAAAACTATGAACTGAGAAAATATTATAATTATCGAACCTATTGTGTTTGAAATGTAAACATTCAGTTTTAAAGATTTCTTTTCCTTTACGTTCTAGATTGGGATTTTAACCAGGACGTCTGACAGTGAGGTAATGTGCACTTGGCATCATACTGTTTGTTATAAATATCTGGCAGTGTGTTTGTTGGCAAAGTTCTGTGAAAGCCATCTTGGTCCGTTTGTTTTCTTCTGACAATTCTAGCAAATGTGGAGCCAGTGTTTTCTCCTTTCATCGATGAATCCATGTTGCTTTTCTCTTTGGTTCTATTTTAACTGTCACCAACAAATGATAGCCTGTTTTTTGTAATTGCCTTGTTGGGTGACTTGCCTTGGTAGTTTGACAAGGTGTGGCTCCTGCTCGGCCATCCTCTTGCTGGCATACGGCATGAGGCTGAGAGCCATGTTAGTCCTCCCAGTGGGTAGCCAAGAAAGCAGGGCTTTTCAGGGCCTCGACCAATAGTGTGCTTGGTAGCTCTTTCCAGCCCTCAAAGTGCATGAACCCAAATCATATTTGGCTTGTCAGATAGGTTTGCACGTTTGAATTTTGAAATGTTCTAAGATGTGACTTTATAAACATTAAATGAATTCTAAAGTCATTCTGTCTACCACTCAGTATGGCAGACAGATAAATATAGTTCAAGTAAATTGGTAAATTCTTTGATTTCCTATTTATATTATATGTAATCTTGAACTTTAGTGTGTATTTTTTTTTTTTTTTTTTGAGACAGAGTCTCGCTTTGTTGCATAGGCTAGAGTGAGTGCCGTGGCGTCATCCTAGCTCACAGCAAACTCAAACTCCTGGGCTCAAACAATCCTTCTGCCTCAGCCTCCCAAGTAGCTGGGACTATAGGCATGCGCCACCATGCCTGGCTAATTTTTTCTATATGTATTAGTTGGCCAATTAATTTCTTTCTATTTATAGTAGAGATGGGGTCTCGCTCTTGCTCAGGCTGGTTTCGAACTCCTGACCTCAAGCAATATGCCTGCCTTAGCCTCCCAGAGAGCTAGGATTACAGGCGTGAGCCACCGCGGCCCGGCCTTTAGTGTGTATTTTTAAAGTAAACTCAATAGAATGTCATTGTTAGAGTAACTAGTAGAAACACTAGTCTGGGACAAAGGCCATAAACTGTTCGATATAGAAGTAATTTAAATTATTAGTATGTTTAAAGAGCATTAGAGTTATCTTAAGATAATTTGGGGGAAATCAAGAATGTTCATATTTTAGAGTTCCAATAAATAGCCCCTTTCCCTGCTGTCTTCCAGTTAGAGGAGGACATAGGAGTCAGACAGGTGGAGATTTTAAAAGTCAGGTTTGTGGCTAACAAAAGCTGGATGAAGGGACATGGTTTCAGTAGGCTTCCCAGTACTTCACTACATTTCTGTTCCCTTGAAGCTACAACTTCATTCTGAGATATGCTGAATAAAAGAAATTTGGGATATACATTTACCTGCCATGTCTGAAGTTTCTTTGAGGGGTAGGAAAATAGTGATTCCCTACCAAATTTCAAATGACAATGTACAAAATGTTGTCTTTTTTTCCCCCTAGAATTGCTTAGTCTCATTGGCATTTATTTATATGTGTTTGTGTTCTATGTAGGTTCCAGATGTGGAATCTCGTGAAGACCTAATTAAAAATCACTACATGGCAAGGATAGTGGAACTTACGTCTCAACTGCAGCTGGCTGACAGTAAGTCAGTGCATTTTTATGCTGAGGTGAGTGGACAGTTAGTTATACCAGGTTGGGGGGTTTTCCTGACCCCTGCAGGAATTAGGTCACTGTTCTATTCTTCTGCTGTTCACTAAAAGAAAGAAGTCTTTGTGTTCTGTGTCTGTATATGTCTATGACTTTGGTTGGAATTCTTATTGATTAGTCTGTGTACCAACCAAAAATCTGTATTTCAGTAAATATAAGACTGATTCGTCATTTCTAACTTACTGCAAGATAGCTGGGAGACTTATAGGTAGTCTTTCCTATGGTCACATAACATGTTTTGGAGCATTCTTGTTACAGATTATTTGTTTTAGAGTTATGGGCAGGTGGACATTTAGAGCTCAAGGAAATTTTATATAGGCAAGTTAAAAAGCAAAATATGCCTGATTTTCTAAAATACTTTTAAATTTCTACATGATAAGTTTATAGAAATTAATTACTATAAATGATAAAATAAAAAATATAATATTTTCAACCTTTAAAACATATACAAGTTCATTTTTTGTTATAGTTTCTTGTCTCACCAGATAATTTTTTTAAAAGAATTAGAAAAGCACTATGCAGCCTTTTGTTACAAGAGGCCTGTTTGCCATTCTGCCATCTTGCTCTTACTTTGTAAATCTATCTTGTCCTTCCTCAATAAACTTTGTTTCATGCTTAAAGAAAAAGGAAAAGAAAAGTACTATGCAATATAATCGATAAAATTATACACAATTCATTGAGTAGAAGGGGGAAAATGAGGAAAGAAAGGATATCAAAGAATAAGAAATAAATAAGATAGAATGGATGCTATTCAACATATAAAAGTACCTTTAAGGTCTCTGATTTGAAACTTTACATGAAAAGGTCAGTTATAAATGGCAGACGGAGAATTATAATGTTTAAAGTTGTTAAAGAAATTGCAGGAGAAAAGATAACATCCTTTATTAGAACCTGAGTTTGTAATTTTCTTCTATTCTGCAGAAATGGAGAGGTTGATAAGAGGCCAGTTGCTAGAAGTGCAGAGGGGTTTTGTTCTTTTTCCTGCTAAAACAAATCATGTGCTCAGTGTTGTTCACAAGCAGCCATCTCATACATGTTTGATAAGCTGATCAATAGTGGCAGCTTGTTGGAATGCAGAAGGCAGGGGGCTGGGGAGGAGGACAGCAGACTGGATGACTTGCAGTGGAACTGCTGTCGCACTGTCTGAGCCACACAGTGAGCAAGCAATCGTATTCTCATTGTTTGCTTCCCTAACTGCTATCTGAGTGTCCCAGACTTGACTGTCATCTTTATGAGGACCTCTGCCTTGCATGTCTCTCTCCCTCTTTGTCAGCTTCAGTGCTGAGCACAGAATGGATATTTATTTAATAGGAGGTAGTTGATTTGGTTGGCTGAACTGTCCTGAAATTTTCTTGTGAGAAATGAAATGAGTAACTGAGGAATTTTTGAGGCTGTTTTATTTCCAAGAGATTTGTTTATTTTAGTTAATGTCTTTAGCACGATTGTGACACAAGAATTTTTAAATTGTCCTAGTTTTTTCTCATTCGTAAACAGGAAGTGGTGACCCCCTGTATGACTTTACTGGAATGGTTAGTCTGAGTGCCTGATGTCAACACAGCATTCAAGTATGTCCCCGCAGATCCTCCTAGTCAGTCTCAGTGGCCTTATCAGAAAGTTTAGTGATCCTTTTAATCTCATACCCTTTTTGAACAATAGTGTGAAATAGGATTTTTCTTTTTGATCTATTCTGTCTCTGGATAGTGTAGGTTTGGTGGGAACCCCCAAAGAAAGCAGCCAGGATCTTTATGGTTTTGCACTCATTTTTTTTTCCCTTGTAGACAGAGCATAATCTGTAGGGTAGGACTGTAGAGCTTTTATTGTTCCTGTAATGTGATCTCTAATGAAAGACTTAAAACACAAGAAAAGTGTCTTAGGATCCACATTGCATGGGCGGAAGCCATTGATACTTTTGAAATAATCACTTCCCTTTTCATCCAGTATAACTATAAATGAATCCTGGGTAAATGTAGAAAGTTCTTATGTTGTTTATAACCACTCGTCGTCAGGCCAGAGCTAGGGAAAAAAAAACACTGATGAGCTTGAGTTGGTAGATTTTTTTCCCTGACTGAAACGATGAGGGCGGGGCCCACTTCTTTGCTATCTGTGTGTACTCCAGTGTGGGGTTCAATGCCTGTCGGTGTTCAGCAGATATTTGTGGAATGGATGAATGGCTTTTGGCTTTGGGAAGTGTTTTTAGTAACCTTCCCTGAAGCAAGTTTGGTTTTAGAAAAAAGCACTCCCTCTAGTAATGGAATGTTTTCTGCTTTTACAGTGCCGAGCACTCTCTAAAAGACTGGCCTTGGCTGAGAAGTCTAAGGAGGCATTGACAGAAGAGATGAAACTTGCCAGTCAGAACATCACCAGACTTCAGGTGACTTCATAAATGTTACCTTAGCAGTTTTAACGCTTTTTCATTGAAAGTTCTCAGGTAGCAAAGTCAGAATTTCCTTTCCAAAGTAATGGCATTTGACCTCTAGACATGTGTTCTTTTAAAGTAACATCTTACTTATGTCAGGCAAATTTTAAATCATTTTATAGTTAGTGTTTGCTTAAATAATATTTATTTACTCATAATCCTCCTTTCTTTGCCCTTCCTTGTAAATACCTGTCATGGTGGGCTGTTGGCATGTTCTATACACATTACTCTGTTTCTTCTCTTTCCTGTTTCATAAAACTGACCTAAACTGAAAGGTAGGTCTGCAAAATTTTCCTCTTTCCTTGGTTACTGCCTTATTTTAAACACTTGCTTTCAGAAAGTCCTTGTTAATAAAAACATAATGCCAGGCAAGGAAAAACATCAGCATAGCAACACCTGCCTCCTCCTCATTTCAGATTAGTTTATCAGGTTAGTTAGGAGCACAGGATTAGATTTTAGGGGGCTGAAGAGAGTGTGAGAGGTGGGAAGAGAGTTTCTTCTAGATGCCTTCAGGAGGGTTGTGGGATGGTAGGAATGGTCAGAGGCCTCACCTAAGGCTCAGGGAAACCTAGGGGATTTGGAAAGGTCATGTAGCCCTCTCGTTTTTCCTATAATTGTATACTGGGCATAGAAAGAAACCATTACATTTTTGCAAAGAAATTATGAACATATTTTGAAGGATAAGAAAATTTTTTTCCCACTTTTCATTTTCTTGTCTTGTTTGACCTATGACTTAACGTACATGCTAACTGATCAGATAAACCATCTTGATAAGTTGCTTTTCCAAATTTTTAGAAATTGTAAAAAATGATATAGTTGTACATATTTTGAGGGTACATGTGATATTTTGATACATGATGCATAATGATCAAATCAGGATAATTGGGATATGCATCACCTCAAACATTTCTTTGTGTTGGGAACATAAAGTTCTTCTCTTCTAGCACTTTTGAATTATACAATAAATTATTGTTAATTATAATTTCCCTAATCCAAATTATTTTAGGAATTATAAAAGCTTCAGAGTGGTATGGCTAGTGGGGTTTTTATTTTTCTCTATTCCTTTTTCCCTTTTTTTCTTTGCTATTTAGGATGAGCTGACAACTACCAAGAGGAGTTACGAGGATCAGTTAAGTATGATGAGTGACCACCTGTGCAGCATGAACGAGACATTATCCAAACAGAGAGAAGAGATTGACACGCTCAAGATGTCCAGTAAGGTATGTGAGGTGAGGTGAGGTAGTCTCTCTGCAATATAATATTTAGCTTAAGGTATTTCCTTGTTAGGCATTTCAGGAGCAAAAGATGAGATCGAAAGCATTTATAAATCATTTTCCTTAATATCATTTGTCCTTTCGTCCAAAAGTAAAATTAAATGTCTTTGGCTGAGTTAAAAGCTGAGAAAGTCTGATACTGAAGGCTTTAATGCTATATTTGCTGCTTTTTGGCACTTTTGCATTTCTGCTATTGTTGTATAAAATGTAGGGTGACTCACAAAGGGCTTAGAAGGGGAATTGCTCTTTATTTATATGAGTCTAAAATGATACTGTTGAAGAAGAACCTTTAGAAAATTCATTCTCATAATTATCCATATAACCTAGAAATGTCTTGCCCTTTAACTCCAGAGACTTCCTTTGATTTCATTTCCCATAAATTCTGCTTGTTCAGACCATGGTTAGTAGGTATTGGGTGATATGCTTAGGTTGAAATGCATATCCACAGACCATTTCTCTATTATTGTAACTTAAGGTATATAGTCTTTTGCCCTTAATCTTGGGCATCTGGGGGCTCAGTTCTGTGCATCATCTCAGGTTCCTAGCACATTTTCCTAACTCAGACGTATTATACCACCACCAGCTGGAACTTACTGTCCCTAGCTCGCAGTCTTTGAGATGTGCTGCTGCCCCTTGTTGATTCAGCAGGCATTTATTGAGTTCCTGCTATGTGCATTGGGGAGGAAAGAGAGATGAATGAAGCAAGGTTTTGTTTTATCATCTGCTAGTGGTAGTGTAAGGCAGCATTCTGCTCATTTGGGGTCTCCTTGGAAAATGCATCATGTTAATGCATTGGAATCTACATTATATAATTTCATTTGCCAGCGTAGTTTCATGATATTCATTGACCTCTTGCTGCTTTGGAGGGTTTTCTGATGCTTCTCTGTGCCAACTCTGTGATGACTGTATCCAGTCAATCTGGCCCTTATTATGGTTCTCCAGTTACTTGGGCTTCAGGAAACTTGAGCTTAGAGATAGGGGGTGGGGAGTGGGTCCTCTTGGAGAATGCCTCCCTTAACCTTTTGATCCTACGATATTTCACCAGAACAATATCTAACTCACAGGTAATATTCCTGGTAATGGTAGGAAGCACACACATTGAGGAGATCATGTTTTGGTTTTTCTTATGGTATGTATAATTTATTTTAGTGATAGTATGAGAAATCCTGTTTTAGAACCTAACATTGAAAAGAAGTAGCAATGATTCTAGGAAAACATTTAGTCTCCAGAGCTATAGAAGTTTTTTGTTTTTTTTTTTTCAGACAGAGTCTTGCTCTGTTGCCCAGGCTAGAGTGCTGTGGCATCAGTTTAGCTCACAGTAACCTCAAACTCCTGGGTTCAAGTGATCCTCCTGCCTCAGCCTCCCAAGTAACTGGGACTACAAGGCTCATACCACCACACCCTACCACGCCTGGCCAATTTTTTCTGGTTTTAGTAAAGATGGGGTCTTGCTCTTGCTCAGGCTGGTCTTGAACTCCTGAGCTCAAGTGAGCCTCCCACCTTGGCCTCCCAGAATGTTAGGATTACAGGCGTGAGCCACTGTGCCAGTCTGAAGTATTGGGTTTTGAATTGGGAAGGGTAAATGTTGAGTATAGCAAAGTTCATTCCCAAAGGTAATTGGATTGTGGCTACTTTAAGAAGTTGGGGAATTTTCAAGCCCTCTCAGAACTTTTAAGCTATTTTTAAAAATACTTATCATTACATAAAACTCTGAGTAAGAGACCCTTCTTTAATTTGGAATTTATGTTGTTAAACTTTCTTTGATCATTCTATAATCCCTGTATTTTGCTTCCCCTGCCCCCACTGCTTATTAGTAATTTAGATTGCTATAACATCATCTTATGGCTAAGTTGACATTGTCTCCATTGGATACCAAGTAAACATCCTAAACCATTTGTTTGTTATTATTTTGCTCTTAGTGTTTGTATTCTTCAAACATTTTTTACTTACATGAAGAAAATGGATTTATACCTAAGAGTTAAATATAGGAATTTATTTTATGTCATTTCTTTCTTTCTTTCTTTCTTTTTTTTTTTTTAGAGACAGGGTCTTGTTCTGTCACCCAGGCTAGAGTGTGATTGTGTGATCATAGCTCACTGCAACCTCAAACTCCTAGGCATGAATGATCCTTCTGCCTCAGCCTCCAGAATAGCTGGGACTACAGACACATGTCACCATGCCTGGCTAATTTTTTTGTAGAGATGGGGATCTCACTATGTTGCCCAGGTTGGTCTTGAGCTCCTGGTCTCAAGTGATCCTCCCGCCTTGGCCTCCCACCTTGGGATTATAGGCCTGAGCCACCATACCTGGCCAAATATAGGAATTTTATTAATAGAAAGTATCCCTAAGAAGTGAGCCTCTCCAGAAAGAAGAAAAGTTAGACAAAACTATAAAGTCCAAATCTCTGTATTTGAGGAATTGGGAATAATTTAAGGCATCTTCCTTCTAACTTGTTCTCAGCTGGTATTTAAGCTTACTTTTGACAAATGATCAGTGCCATATCGGTGTTAGTTGGCACATATTCAAGATTATTACCTATTAAGACCTTTAAAAGGTGTTTATTTAAACAACAAACATGTTTAAGCTAGCCGTTTTTTATTCAGCTTCATGAAATCTTATGCTGTCTTGTCTTTAGAACAAATTGGATGTTTGAAGTTTTGATAAATCAAAGGTAGTAGCTTTCTTTTCTTTCTTTATCACCTTTCTTCAGCCCCTAGAAGGCTAGGGTCCATAGAAGTAGAGAGTGAAACATAACAAACTGATTAGTGATTACTGAATATAAGTTAACAATGCAGCAGTTACCAGCTAGCCTCCTTTGTGGAAGCTGAAGTGTTCCACAGTGAAATGTGGCTTTCAGACAGCTTGGTTTATAAACTATGTGAGTTTTTTTTTTTTTTTTTTGGAAGTTTGTGTTCTTATTGTTGGTATTTTTCTTTTCACAGGGAAATTCTAAAAAGAACAAGAGTCGATAGTTTTCAAATAGCTGGTTGGCGACTGTTCTTTCCAGAGCTGCTTCTGCTGCACAGAGCTGCAGGGCCGAGACTCCACGTCCAGTCCAGGAAGCCGAAGTGTTGTTGGACCCAGTAAACTAGTCAGTGTTATAAATGGCCTTGAGACATTTAAAATATATTTGTAATCAATAAGGCAAATACAGAATTTGATGTTGGCAGTACAATGGAAAACAATACACATACCATGGATATTGTAGGTTTCCTTATGCTGTTTTTACTGTGCACTTTTTAAAATTAGGTTTTAATTTCTGTATGTAAGAACAACAAATATTTTGTATATTTTCAAATTCAATTATATGGTAATCAATTTGGTATCTATGGAATAGATATATGTTTCTGGAAAAAATGCTTAAATTGTCAAACTGTCATTACTTCTTACTATAATTGAAAATAGCCTCTAGATTCTTTTTTAAAGATTTGTTCATATTCTCTCTCTGTCTCTCTTTCTGTCTCTCTCTCTCTCTTTCTCCCTGTCTCTTTCTCTCTTTGAGGGGGAGGGAGTGAATCTTGCAAACTTCAGATCTTATGGGTTTATGATCATTGTCTTCAGCTCTTCGGTACCCTCTGTGTTAGAGTAATAGCTAAAGGAAATTCATGTCAATAAATTCGTACTTACATCAAACTTTCAGTCTCTCTATAAAAATTTGATAAAGGAAACTGAAGCCTATTAAAGTATGCTTTACAAAATATATCAAATCCCAATTGACTTAGATATAATCTAATTCCCCAAATTGGAATAATTGTATGGTTAATCTTTTAGTAAGGCTCTTGAGTTTTGGCCTCGAAAGCTACTTATAACCACACTTCAAGCAAGGACTCTGAGCCCTTTAAGGCTCCCCTTGGTTTCTCCTATAAACATGTTATCATTTCAGTGTCCATCTCAAGGGTGTCTCTCCCGGAGAACTCCCCACCCCCTACTCCCAAGGCCCTAAATACATGGCTCCTTTCTGAGTTGCTTGTACAGGCCAATTTTATCCCTGTGTCCAAGTTCCCAGATTAGCTGAAGGGTTCCTGAACCCCTTTCCTCCCCACCTCCCTGCCTGTAGCACCATCTCCCTTGAGGCTACTCTCTACACAGTTGCCAGTCGCCCTCCACAATGTTTTATTCTATTCACCTGAGAGCCCATCGCCAGCTTCCCTCCCTGCATAGCACAAAGGCCAGCTCCTGGGCCTCTGCCCTAAGTCCTCAGCAGCCTGCCTCAGAGACAGACTCTGGTTGTTATGCCCAGTCCTCATGGCAGTGAGAGGGTTTAGATCCTGACTTGGGAGTCCCTGGGTTAGTCAGTTCAGTGCCATTCTTCTCGGCCCTTCAGGTCCTACCCCCTTCCCCTCTCTTTCCTGGGCCCTGCCCATTGCCAATTCTCTATCAACCGAACCAGCTGTTTTCACTGTAACTATGCCTAGGCCCCAAGACACTGTGAGGGAAACATCAAAGAACCATGCTGATTAGCTCTGTCATACACTTAGGGTTTCAAGCCCCTGCCAAACTTTCATTGTTCCTGGACAGTCCTTTGGCATTTTTAGTCCATTGGCTATACCAGTTCTCTCCTTAAGCCTTGTGTCCTTCATTCTCAGGGTCTACACCATCAAAATCACAGCCTCTCAGCAGTACTTCTCAACCACCATACTTGTTTATATATTTACCTATCCTTATAGCTTTCCCCTGCTTCAGGGGCAGAGCTGTCACTGCTGCCCTTAAAGCCAACCTCTTTCTGATGTCTTAATGCCGTTCCTTTTCTAGTGCTTTTTTGTTTTTTTCACTTTTAGATCTTCAATTTTTCATGGTGTTATCTCCTCTCTCTCAACTTCCAAACAGACTGAACTTAACCTATCTTTTAAAAAGTTTAGACTCTGAAGCCAAACTCTCTGGGTTCAAGTCCTTCTAAATAAGTTAGCATTTTTGTGCTTCAGTTTCCTTCTCTGTAAAATGGGGATATTGATAATATCTACCTCCTAAGATTTTTGTAAGGATTAGATGAATTAATGTTGTAAATTGCCTAGAATACCTGGTATAAAGGTTATTTTAGTAATACTTGTTACTTGTAATATCATTGTTATTGCTACTTCTGTTATTTCTCTTTTTCCCTCCTCCTCTGTCCATATGCTTTCCCTTTTACTGCCAGGCTGTGTGAAAGAGTAGTCAGTCTCTAGTTATTATCTTCCCATCTTCACCATGACCCATTTGCTCTTGCCAAGTCCAGCAGCTTCTTTTCATATGTGCTTTTGCCTCAGTTTTATATAATGTGGAACACTCTTCCTCACTTTCTCTTTTGAGATCTTTTCTTCCCTTGGTTTTTCCAACACTTCTTTCTCTTATATTCTTGTTCTCTCTCCCTGTCAAAATTCCTTCTCATTCTCTTCTCTGGGTCCTCTTCATCTATCTTTCCTTTAAATGTTAGAGTTCCAAGGTTCTCTGTTGTCTTCTCTCCGCCAGTCTGTACTGCTACATGTCCAATCTTATCTTTTCAGCTTCGACCTCTTCTGAGCTACTTCCCGAGTTCCGCTACCCTGTGAATTCTCTACCAGGACGTCCCATAGGCAGCTCGCAATCTAAGAGGCTCATTCAGTGTTAAATTCCCTCACCCAATTTCTCCCTTTTTTTCTTGCCATCTCACCAGACCTGTTTCTTACCTTATACTCATTCATTCAACAAATACTTATTGAGTACTTGTTACGTACTGGTCACGATCCTAAGTGCTAGAATACAAAAAAATAGACAAGTGCCCTCATTGAGTTATCTTAGCACGGGAAAACAAAAAACAAAAAAACCAAGAGAAGTAAAATGTGTAATGTGTTATAAGGTTATAAATGCTGTGGAGAAAGAATAAAGCCAGGAAGGGGGACAAGGACCTGATGAGACACTGCTTTTTAGGTAGGGAGACCAGATAGGGCTGACAAAAATGTGGCATTTGAGGAAAGATCTGAAGAAGTTGAAGGCGTGAGCCACTTGGACATCTAGCAAGGAGTGCTTCAGACAGCAAGAAAGGCAAACACTAAGGTCCCACGGTGGGGGTATGTCCCCAGTGCAGGAACGGCAAGGCCAGTGCCGGTGGAGTGCGGAAGGAGCTCACACAAGACAATGAGATCAGAAGGTGACAGTGGCCAGATAACTGTGTCCTGTAGGTTGGGGAGGCTTTGGCCTTGACTCTTAAAGCATTAATGGGAAGGCTTTGGAGGGTTAGGGACAAAGGAATGATATCTTCTAACAGAATTGTTGGCTGTGCTGCTGAGAGTATATTATAGGGGAGCAAAGATAGAAGGAGAGAGAGCAGTTAAGCTGTTGCAATAATAGGAGGCCATTGAGAGATCATGGTGGCTGGGACAGTGGTGGTGGCAGTGCAAGTTGCATGAAATCTGTTTCTAGATTTATTTTGAAGACAGAATCAATACAATTCACTGACTGATTTATCTAAAATTTTAACTCTTTCCCCCTACACTTCTATTATGCTTCTCTATTTTACTTCTTATACTTACCATAATCTAACCTACGGTATGTTTTCCTATTTATCTTATTTATTACCTTTCTACCTCTAGAAGATATAGCGCCTTGAGGCTGGTGTTTTTTTCTGTGCTGTGTTCCTTGTGCCTAGCACACTGTGTGGAATCAGAGAATATTTGTTGAATGAATGTTGATTGGATAGGATGTGATATGTGAGAAAGAGGGAGGTAGCCAGGGGTTTTGGCCTGAACAAACTTGACTGAGAGGGAGGACTGCGGGAGAAGCAACTAGCTTCCAGCTAGTTGTAAGGTAAGCCAGAGACCTGGGAGTCACCTTTGATCCCTCCCTATCTCACACATCTCATTGGTTATCTTGTCTTACTGAATCTTCCTGCCTTTCAGTGTGTCTCACTTCTAACCTCTCCTTACTTTAAATCAAGCCCTGGCTACCATTGTCTGGACAACTTGTCTTCCTACACTCTAGTCCTCCTACCCCTTCTGCCAGGTATCTTTCTAAAATATCTCTGCATAGCCATTTTCCTGATGGAAAGCCTTCAGAATTGCTCCTCACTGTCTGCCGAGTGAGATCTAGTAGTGGTGTGTACGTGTGACACTTGTCCAGCTGGCCTGGGCTCACTTTCTCCTCATTCTCTTCCATGTACTCAGTGTGCTTGCCCTCTACTTTTACAAAAACTCAGACCTCTGGGTCAGGACAAGTTCCACTTCTCCTGAATAATGGGCCTGTTTTCCTCTTAGATACAATGCAAATCTTGGGATTGTTTCCCTCTCTGCTTTTGTGGCTAAGACTGGTATCCCCCTCTGGCTGTGAGCTGCCTTACATGGCATCTGGCCCCATAGACCCATAGTCCATGCTGTGGACTGCTTGGCCATTCTCTAGAGGTCAGTCCTCTTAGGAGGTTTCCTAGGGCAGAGGGACAGGGCTGTAGAGGGTACAGTGGATCCATGGCAAAATTGTGCCTTTTTGACTTAACTCCTGAGATCTTTGGCTTTCTTGGCAGAGTCACTTCCCAAGGTAACTGCTGTTTATTAACCACTTACTGAGTCAGGTGTAGGTAAGAGTTGGCAGGTATTGTTTCATTTAAACTTCCCAACAACTGTATCTCATACATACTATTATTATCCCCATTTTACAGATAGAAAACTAAGGCTTAGAAGGGCTGAACAACTTGTCCATGGTCACACAGTACATAGTGGAGCCAGGATTCAGATCCAGGCTAGTCTGAACCCTGAGCCTGGATTATTCACTACTATAATGTGAGACTTTTAAATTGGGGCTTTCAGCTCCTTCAGGTACTATATATTTGGAAGATAAAATATTAGGCCGGGTGCGGTGGCTCACGCCTGTAATCCTAGCACTCTGGGAGGCTGAGGCAGTAGGATTGCTTGAGCCCAGGAGTTTGAGGTTGCTGTGAGCTAGGCTGACGCCACGGCACTCACTCTAGCCTAGGCAACAAAGTGAGACTCTGTCTCAAAAAATATTAAATATCTCAGTAACTCCAGTACTTCATTCCACTTCCCCTTTGCACATCTTCATTAAATACCCGTTACCCCTTCTTTCAATCAGCTTTTTTTTTTTTTTTTTTTTTTAAGACAGAGTCTCGCTTTGTTGCCTAGGCTAGAGTGAGTGCCGTGGCATCAGCCTAGCTCACAGCAACCTCAAACTCCTGGGCTCAAGCGATCCTTCTGTCTCAGCCTCCCAAGTAGCTGGGACTATAGGCATGCGCCACCATGCCTGGCTAATTTTTTCTATATATATATTAGTTGGCCAATTAGTTTCTTTCTATTTATAGTAGAGACGGGGTCTTGCTCTTGCTCAGGCTGGTTTCGAACTCCCGACCTCGAGCAATCCACCCGCCTCGGCCTCCCATCAATCAGCTTTTAGTTATTAATAGCTGCTTGCACTAATTTAAAGGCCCTGTCACACTTTGCTTTTAACATGATTTTTTCCCTCCTCTGATCCTTTATTTTTATTTACATATTCTGTGTTACACAAATGTTTCTAACCACCAAACTCTGGATTTTATATATTTATGCCACGATGCTGTCCCTTCGTTCTAGTCCTCTTTCTGTACAAACTTGGTTATTATTTTATTACAGGAGTTTTCTAACATACACAAAAGTAGAGAGACTAGTGCGAGCCCTATGTCTCCATCACTCATTATG